GTTAAGATAAAAGATATGTTAAGCACCTTTTGTTTGGCATCCTCCTGTTTGTTTGGATTGTCCACTATGATACTTGCCCAAAGACAATACTTCTTCCAACAGAAAAAGACCACAGGGCGTGGACCACATCGTTCGTGCACAAATGACATGGAGTCTGTTGGGGATCGATTGGAGGTGCTGGCTCTTGGGGGAGTCTGCCACTCTGATGGATCAGCCGGACCCCAAGGCGGGTCCGGGCCCTGTCCGTCTAGCTGACGCGAGGTGAAAGGAATTTGGCACCTGCAGAAGGAGGTTGAGAGCCCACTGTTCTTTGGAAGCCACGAGTAGGAGTTGAAAGGACGCAAATTCACACTCAACTCAATTGAACAAGGCCGATTTGGTAAGTGTTCCTCTTTTTGATGATGCCATAGGAACTCGCAGTTTTCAAAAACTGCACAAGCTCCATGCTCATAACTACCTGGCTTGGCGATGATTTACACGTCCTCCCTGTCGTGGGAGGCCACGAGCGGAGCAAAGCTTTGCCGCTCAGGACGGGGTCGTTCAATGCAGTTCTGCAGCTGCTTGCAGGGAGAGGGTTGGTTGCGGATTTATATAGATGGCGGGTGAGCTTTAGCTGAATGGTGCTAAGAAAAGAACATGGGATGAATGATTCGACTGCAAATGCACAGGGTGGCCATTCACTTACAGTATTCCTTACCACGCCACACAGTCTAATTACTATCCATCTCAACCAGTGGAGAGTTTTGGCCCTTCGGCGCTCCGACTGCGACTGCATGGAAGCCACGGGGATCGAAGCATCACAGAACCGCAGAATCTCTTGGGTGATTCAGCAAACTACCAGACTGAGACGGCGAAGAAAAGCTGCCATAGGCCGGCATACTTTCTTGGGTGGGTTTCCGCGTGGTAATATGATCAGCCTGGCGATGGTGATATGATCAGGTCCGGCAGGTTTTGACCGGGCCTTTGATCTCAAGGGTGACATGTTTGCCAGAGGTTTTCTGGGGGAATGATCAGGTGTGGACAGGATATGGCTTTCTGAGTGCAAACATGCGCAAACGAAACTAACGAAAGTAATAAATGCCTTGCAGAAGAGCACCCTGGAATAACATCTTCGCTTTCCTGTTTCGAAATAATGTCAACCCCTCCAATACTGTTTGCACTTTTGTTCTGGTGTGGTTGGAGCATGTTGGAGGCCAGATGCTCCTGCCAACCACCTCAGACAGAGTCAAAGAATGTACACCCTGGAAGATTAACGTGGAACGTGACAAGTTAAGAAAAATGGTCTTCCAAAGGTCCACGTTCACGTTTCATGTTAATCTTCCCTGCCTTATTCAAACATCTTGAACGGGATGCTGGAACAGCCGGGTCCACCCGCCGGGCCCACGCAAGGAGTCAAGCCTGGGGAGGTCATCAACATCCCCACCAAGGCTGAAGCGCTTCGGGCGCGTGGCGCTCGCGCGGGCCGCGCGGAGATCGAAGGAGTGCACCCAAGTTGCTGTTTACGCTCCGACCCGCGTTCCATGGCAGTGGACGGTTTGGGGCCCCGAAAGGAAGGCGATTGATTTGGTCGACCACAAGGGGGGAGTGGTCCATGTCTATGATGGTTGGAGGGAGGGTGGGTGGTGTATATTGAAAGTGTCGAAAGCATAATCCATCATGAAATCCTAATCCTTTAAAGAATGCCTGGCAATTCCTCACAAAACTAGAAGCCAAGGGGGGGGTGGGCAGTCTCCCTGCTCCAATGCATATATATATATATAAGTCACTCATGCCACACTCATGTGCCTTGTGCGCATCATGTGGAAATGCTTTGGCAAGTCATGTCGCATGATTTCTCCACGTGCTTGGCCTCGGCCTCGCGGCAAGCTCAGGGATCTGAAGCCTTTTCCCACCAGAGGATCCGGAGCCTTATCCTTCCTTAAAGTCCCGCCAGTCGTGGATAAATTGTGAAACTCATTGGGCATCAGGCTCAATTGGTTTAGTCGGTTCACTACAGTTGAACATTCCATTCCCACACCAGCAAGCAAATCCAGCAAGCAAATCTAAAGGATTGATTCTAAAGGTTTCTTGTTTTTTTCTGCCACCTGTATTAGGCTCGATCTTTTTTGAAGAAGGCAATCAACAACAAGTTGGTGGCAATCCCACCTCTCTTCAGGCTAGTCATTTGGATGAGGCGCTTGAAGCGATTCACAAAAGCCTCTCGGCAGAAGAGGTTTTGACAAAGCCCCGGTAGGCTTGGCCAGATTCTTGGAGAGAAATCGCCAAGAAATCTTCCCTTTTCAGGGTGCCATTCCTCGTGTTCCCTGTTGCCTAACCTGAAACGATTCACTGGGGGAAGGTTGTAAAGAAACACTGGTTTCTCGCCTTTGCTTCTTTGGTTCCGGTGCATTTTAAGGCACAACACTGATACAAAGAAGCATGGGTAAAGGCCACAGCAGCAGCTGGGAGGGGGAACCGGGAGTTTCTTCTAGCACTCGCCGTTCTGATGTTTGATACTTCTGATTCTACCAAGGGCTGGTTTCAAGTTACAACATCCTGCATTCCATCCCTCCGGATTTCTTGCGCATCCGCTTCGATGATTCGATCATCGCGGGGCCCATGCGGGGAACGGAGTTGCCATGCGGGCCATGCCCATCGGCTGGATCGAATCATGCAGAAACATGCAAATCCATGATCAGTTCCATTGGCATGTTTGGGGGTCTGACGAATGGTATTATGACCCCACGTACCATTGGATAAAAGACATAGAAGACCCAAATTTAGAAGTTTCTGCAGGTTGAAGCTAGTTGGCTTCAAGGTAGTTGAGCCAGTTGGGTTCCAGTGAAAGTATTCTGTATAATATGCACATGACTCGTACATACATGGAGTGGGAATGAGTGGTAAATGTTGCACCAAAGCATTTGATCCACCGCCAATTCTACCAGCTTTATGTTTGCAGTACAGATGCAGCTGGAGGCCAGTATTACAAGCCAGTATAATTTCATAGATTGAAGCAAATCACGTTGAGGGCTATTGAAGCCTGCTGTTTGCTAGATTCACTTGCCCACTTCCTCCCGTTTTCTGTGACCGACATGGATGCACCAAAGAACAACGACCGACATACTGCACACCCAAAACATGGTCAAGAAAAGGGCCTCTTGGAGAATGGCTACAGGTTTTGCTGCTAAAACGGTTCTGGCTCAACGAATCTGCTTTGTGGGTCAGCGAGTCTTCGTGGAGTGTTCTCTTCCGAGCCCACTCACCAATGTTACGAGCGCCTTGTTGGGGAAACCAGAGAGCCAAGCCCACACAGAGAACAGGAGAGAGAGAGAGAGAGGGCGGCGAAACTCAACACCTAGCGTCACTAAGAGAATGCTGAACAACTTCCACACAGAAAACAACATCCCACACATCTCAGCAGCCACATATATCTCACGCCACATATCGCGCACACTTTTCAGGTGCCGAAGAGGCCTTTAAGAAGCTGGATGTGGCGCCGTGGCGCACTTCATGGTTCGGATGTCTGTCACGGAAGTGCTCAGTAAGAAAAGCTTCTCAGTGGTGATGGGCCCCAGTGACCTTGGTAAAGACGTCTTCCAACCAAATAGAGGACGTTTGAGGACTTGAGGATCGTCAATTCAATTTTGATGTATGTTCATGTAATAATGTTCATGTATTTCCATGCTTAAGTATGTTGATGTATTTTCATGTATTGTTCATGTTTGTTTTCAGTTCAGTGTTTGGTAGTTCTTTTGTCCGCCTTTCTTCCTGGGATACGACGGTCAGAGACCGGGTAGTAGTACTGGTGGTGAGTCGGTCCTGAGTCCGCCACTCAGGACCGCAGTGCGCTGGTGAAGCCCCAACAACTGGTGGAAGCACCGAGAAGGCGCAGAAGGGTGGGGGGTCGAAATGGCTGAAGATGTGCGATAAATGCATGAATCTTGTTTTTCTGAATGAATGTGATGTTTGCTACAAGTTGTTCTATATCAAATAGAAAACATTATTATATATGAAATAGAAAGAAATATATAAAGTCGAGTCGTTTCATGTTATTTTCCACTTTGCTTCTCATCCGACTTCGCAGTACCTTCCGTGTGCCTTGGCAGCCATCACAGTGTGCTGCCATTTTGGTGTGTTGGCGCAGCCCAGCGTGTCTCGTGCAATCGAGTCCTTGAGCCGCAGACGATCAGGACCGGACCCAAATGAGAGGCTTTGGGCTTTGTGAGTCCAATGGCGTTCCTTAATCAACACACAGGCAGTAAGATGGTAGCATTGGAAGTCGTATACAAGAACCAGTAAGAACCCCTGCAGACCTGCGACCCATATCACGCGGACGTACGATTCTCTATATTTTTTTCACGACTACCCGTCGGGTATTGAGAGTATTAGAGAGTTTTCTAGATTCGCGGAGTGCGAACACTTGGACCTCACTTGGAGGTGTTTGTTGCAAAGCACTCACTGCGAAAGTCATGGAAGCATTCAAGTTTGTTCTTGAGCCACTGCCTTGTTTTGCTTGCAGTGACTTGTAGACCACTTGTGCAGATTTCGACACCTTGCAGTTCCAGGCAAGATCAGGCTCAGCACTCGGCTTCAGCTCAAGGACCATTCGGCTTGGGGCGAGGCCATGATCTGTCAAGACACAAATTCCGCCAATGGATGAGTAAAGATCTCCCAGAAAGACTAGTCGGAACTATTCTGAACACACAGATTGCCAACTCAGTCACGGTTTGCCATGTGGAGTGTGCCTGTTGGGATTTTGACCCACAGCTATAATCAGCTATACACAAGAGTTAGCTTTGTGTAGGCAAGACAAATACATATAAATCCAACGATAAACCCTCAGTCACATTCGGCATGCTTTAATGCTTAGAGTATCTTAGAGTTAGACGACTCAGAGTTGAGCCAGTGAGCTCACATGCAAGTTCGGTTGACCTATCACATGCAGTAATATCATGTAATACCTATATATTCTGTAATTGAAACAGACAACAACACCATCAATTAACAACCATTACTCTTCACCAGTCCAGCTCCCCCCCATGTCCCTCTATGTCTCACACAGAGCTCGTGGACTGGACCAGCCGAACCGAACCAGCCAGTGGCTCAAACACCGGACCTGCGACCAGCTCTCGACAAAAGCGGCCCACCGCTCGGTGCACGTCGCTGCCGCTCGTCGGTGACCGTCGTTGGCCCGCGTGGTCGTCGTCGCGGAGTCATCACTGGGCCGAACGTAGCGTCATGAAGCATGTGGGGAGATGTGGGGAGTTTTTGTCCGAGACGGAGATATGTGTAAAGAAACAAATGCACGTTTGACATCCTTTGACAATAACGTGCCGATAACTGGCAATCAAAGTTTAAAGTGGTGTGTTTTTCCCTGAAACAGTGGTGGCTTGGTCAAGTCCGAAGTCGATTTGCTTTTTGATCACCGGGAGCCAGGGGTGGGATTCTGGGTGCCATAGACGCTTTTTTCATCCGGATTCCTTGACACCAGGCATATACATACATGTTATTACATTTTGATAAACAAATATATATATATATAATCAATATAAATAATATATATATATATGTATATGATTATGATTATGAGGCTGAGGATGAGGATGATAGTTATGAGGATATATGTGCCCTCCGGCCTCCAAATATTTTTGCCCAGGTCATGCCCATCGTCCAAATCCACCTGCCGAAGAACTGTGCCGATGAGGCCACCTTGGAGCGCATCCGTGTGGCATGCCGTCAACATGTGCTGGACACGTTGTCCGCCGACCGGGCACATCACGACTACGTCACCGTGGTCGAGGTCCTGGGCAACTTGGACGCGTTCGGTGCGTTGAAGCGCGCGTTATGTGTTTGGAGGTGATGGCGGATCACATTGGACGTTTGAACGTGGGAGTACGGGCACCAGTCACGTTATGATAAGGAAGTCTCACAGTATGTTTGGATATGCTTTGCGGCTCGGTGCTGGTCAGCATCTATGTTGACAGCTGCAGTGGTTGAAGGCGAGATAAATGAGCGTGTTTTGAATGCACTGTGCACGAGGATTTTTGGACATTAGATTATACTTCCTGTCAAGCACTTTGTAATTATGGGATCCCAGCTGCAAGGCAACAAAATACAATAATTGCGGACCTTCATGTGCCGCACAATCCATTGACTCACGGTTCTCGCCACTCACCACCCGCCGTGTTCGTCCAAGGCAAGATGGGCGATGGGGTCCCGTTGGTGAAGGTTGACCAACGGCCCGGGCGCGAGAAGTGGCGCAAGGAGCAGTTCTCCCAACGCATTGCGAAGACCATCGCCGACGAGCTGACGCTCGGTAGAAAGAACTGGCCTTCTTCAGTTGTAGAAGGAAGGTGAAAAATTGAATTGATCAACCAAGCAGTGGAGTCAGAGCCTATGGCCCTTAGGCAGGAACACATATGAACAACAATTGAAACATACTATACAGCGCTGTTCTTCTTTGGATTGTGTGCATTTTGTGTCTTTGTGGCTAAGCAATCGTGAAGACAGCAATTTTGTAGTGTCCAAAGCAGTGGGAAGCAAGTTCAGGGTCTCAGATCAAAACAAGGTTTAGATTCTCATTTCATGCAGAGAAGGAAAAGTACCAGAGCATGTTGAAGTCGATGACGGAAGTGTCGGATCGAAGACACACGAGTAGAACCGACAGAGGGGAGGAACACTTTTGTTCTACAGGTAAGAGAACATATCCACCCTTGCCTAACAGGTTCATACCCAGGAGGTCATACTTTACAGTCTATAGATTCTATAGTTTTAAGCTTCTAAATGCATCCTCCGAAGGTATGCCTCTCCAGTCCCCCCCCCAAAAAAGCAATTCCCCAATGTCAACTTCTCTTTCAGGATCTGTCCATGAGCATTTTAGATGCGTAGGCACTATCTCGTTGCCCAGGAAGTGCCAAGAAAACCACTGCTTCGTGGTCTTTCGGGAGTCGCCCACGGAGCACAACTTCTACGTGGGCGATGGCTTCTTGACCCCCTTCAACCCGGCAGCCCACGCCAAGTCGAAGCTTTGAGCGGAGTTCCAGTGGGAGTAAACGAATGATTCCTGGTCACTTTGGAGGAAAGCAGAACACGGGCTTTTTGATCTCCATATGTAGCTTGTTAATATAGGTTTCTGTAAGCTATAAGTTTATATGTTTTAATAAGAGTGTTCGCACATTTTTCAAGTTGTCCCCGAGTATGATTGAAGCGTCACCCACTTCAAAGTGACAACGGGGATGGGGTTTGCCCAAGTCCTGCCAGCTTTAGGTGGCTGCGGGGCTCAATCTATTTGAACAGGGCAAACAGCTGCCTGGGTTGCATGGGCGACGTTCCTATAGTTAGTTGGACCTCACCCAACATAGAGAGCTCCATGAAACAGCACATGTCAGTCTTTGCTGTTGGTATTGTGTCATCGCCCATGCAACTCACGATGGTTTCGACAGGCAAAATGCCACAACTAGGTTCCAAAAGGACCGAAGAAAAGCAACTGGGATGATACAGCTCTACAAGTTCATCATCCTCATCATCATCATCATCATCATCATCATCAGCAGCAGCAGCAGCAGCGTCATCCGGTTTCCAGTAGATAAGTACCTGGTGAACTGGCCGCAGCTGAACGACCAGAGCTGAGCAGCTCTTCTTTGTTCACGGACTGTTCACGGCAGCTCTTCTCATTGCAGAGCTCATCAGCTTCGTCGGAAGGGTGACTGGTGTATATATATATATATACATATTAATCTATAATTATACTGGGTGCAAGTGACCCGGGATTGGGCGGACATAGCTGCAGAAACACTAATCCTAAGTCATCAGGCTAAAACAATGAAAAAGCGGCCAAAAATGGTTAGCTCCGGAGATTCTTTAAAAGAGTGAAATTCATTCACAGACGGTGATGACGTAGGACTAGTTGGACACAATACAACAGCCTATGTCATCACCCTGTGTCACCCCACAGTTTGGACATATTTTTTAATCATATGATGAAGGCGCCTGGATTTGCCTCGTACACTAGTCCTAAGTCATCAGCATTTAGTTGGGACAGGGTTTCTACCGTGCACATTGCCGTTCGCTGATGACTTAGGAGTATGGAACAGCTGAACCTAAGTCACTGGTGGCCACAAGTCCTAAGTCACCGGTCCCCAGTATATATATATATACGCATTACTTGCTGAACTGTGCTGCCAATGCTAGGCTTAGAACAACGGATCAAGGGAGAAATCGCATTGTGTTGGAATTAGCACCAACTCCTATAATAGGTAGGTGCGACAGTGTTTGATCCAGGCATAGCTTTCAAGCTACCAGGTCATGAATGAAACGCCCACAGGTTGACAAAATAACAACTCTGAAGTTGTACATGTTTGCTTAGACACCCTTTTGTCAAAAGTTCACACCCCGAAAGGAATCTGTTGTTTGTAGAGGAGAGAAGTCTTCCAAAGGACGTTTAAGACCTTTTGCTAAGGGTTACACATGTCCAGACAAATCATCCAGATTAGACAGAAATGGCACACCGAAGACCTGGCCATCGCCAGCATTAACTTGTGCAAAAGGGGGTCCTTTCGATGAACAAACTTCGTCCTAAATATAGAGAACTTGGCTCTGGAAATCTGGAAAAGCCAAAAGAAAAACACACGAAAAGGATCGTCCGTGGTGATAGACACTTGTCCCCAAAAAGGAATCCCCACCCACGCCCGTTGAGCTGCACTTGTCCCGCCCAGCTACTCTCAGTGTCGCACCGGTTGTGCAGGACTCGTTTGGAGCATTTTGGTGATGATCGTTTCGGGTGCGATCGTGGTTGGCGGAGTGTCCGCCATGTGGATCCTCACGTGCGGTTTCCACAGTGGTGGGGGCGGATGCCGCACATGGCCAGCGAGACACTCAAGTGACTCAGGGGATGCCGGATGCCACGAACGAGCAAGAGTAGATGGTGCAGACCCATTGACCAACATATTCAAATTGCGGATTTGTGCCATCCCCCTGGAACCTACACCGCAGTCACTTTGTGCTTTGGGTTGCGCCTTAACCCAGTTGGGGGTCAACGATCTCCCCTCCAGTCCACCTCTCCAAGTGTTGCAGTTCCCAAAGCTTCGGGTCGAGGAATAGCATTACCTTCAAAACACCTGACATCACCTCAGCCAGAAAACCTGACATCCCAACCGCTCTTCTTGTCCGACTTCGCTTTTTCGGGGGTCGAGTCATCTCCGAAGCGGTCGCCTGCGAAGGGAGCACGGTCGCTTGTGTGACGGAGAAAAGCACATTGCACCCCACAGAAATGACTAGTGAGTAAGGTCGCCGTGAGATCCTTCAACTTGCGACCATGGCCACCAGTGGAAATCCCAGGGCCAGTCCAATCTTTTTGCACGATCTGTGACACAACACATATCGACCGCATCAAGTTTGTTCGTCGTTGTCAATTGTTGTCATTCTGATTTTGTTGTTTTTCTCCTTGGTTGTCTCATCACAGGTTGCGTTTGGTGCATCCTCGCCGCAACCGAGGCAAGACGCCACTCGGGAGGTGCATCTCACGCCGGAGCAAGAGGCACGGTGGGCCGCGGGGAGCGGTGCCTTCCGCCGCGGGTGATGGATACAACTGGATGTGTTTCAAGAATGTTGTATGAAGGAAACCTCCATGCCGAGATGATGAAGGAAAGCAGGGTAAGATGTTGATGTTGTAAGATTTTAGATATCTGCCAAATTCCTTTGCCATAGGGATCCCTTTGCGCTGTTGGTGCCGCCGCGTCGCCACAGGCAATCGTAGACGGAGTGCCAATGGAATTCCAGCGGGTAAAGATGCCTGTGATCACAGGTTGCCCTTTTTGAGGGGCGAGGCTTTACAAGCATCAGCTTGGTTGTGATCGTTTGTGCACTGACAGTCCGAAAACAAATCAAACCGTATTTGTTCAATCCTTTGTGGTCTCCTTTTTGTGCATGGGATGCTCCAAGGGAGGAGGTGTATCACTAACTAACAGGAACTCTTGTGAACTAGAAGATCCGATTTAAGATGAGCAAAACTAGATGGATGCCTTGAAATTGGATTTACTGTATATTTTGAGTTCACCAAGCAGTTGGTTCACAGAGACGGTGCTGTGGACCTTTCAGAAACAACCTGGGATCACGAGCAGCGATCGATGGACCTTCTTTCGTCAAGGACCTGTCATTCGACAGTAGTACTTAATGAGACCAAGGGCCAGGTCGTACTGTTGCACTGGTCATGTTATAATTGACCAAGACCAGAACCACTGCCGAATCTAGGTGATTTCTGGTGTCTTACGGGCGATTGTTTTGCCTGGGCAGCAGGATTGGGGTAGATGGATTTTGACTGGACAACCCATCCACTCGTGACCTTTGCTCACACTACAATGCCAACGGCAACAGACAACAAACCATGACGCTTGCAACACCAAACGCAAGCACTGATAGACAACACAACAACAGACAAGAAGCAATCATCCAATAACTCACAATGACAATGCCAAACACAACCATAGCACATCCCGCCAGTCCCCACGAGTGTCCGCCCATGTCCGCCAGCCGGACATCATGATAACAAACGTAGCCAACACACCATGGCCCATGGATGTCTCGCCAGTCACCCCAACCCAGTTGTCCTACTATAGTGTATTTGGGCGGGTGGGGGTTGCTCGAAGTGATGTTTGTCAAACCTGTTGGTGTATGCTGGGCTGACTTAGTACGTCCAAAAGGCTTTGACCGTGTGTATGAAGCAGTTGGTCACCTAGCCTGTCCCTGAGCATTGTCAGTGCCAAACAGATGCTGCACTTCACCCTGACTTGCACCGTTTTGGTGCCTATCAGGGTGCCTGATTCGTCGAGAAGCGTGCACCACAACTGATCCTTCAAGGTTCCAAACCTCACAGAAATTGAAACAAACTAAAATGGCTAGCATGGTCCGGTTGAATAAAACAACTTTGTCGGAGAAACAATACACCCTCCTCAAGAGTTGTTCCATTGTTGTGGTTTGTGGGGGATGACTCAAGTGGCAACTAACAGACTAACAGAGGTCTAAAGTGCATGACGTTGTGGCGATAGAGTTCGTTGGCCTTTATCCTTGACTCCCGCAGCGTTTGCCAGCTCCAACACCCAACCATTCTCGGTCGGCCGGGCCTCTCTCAGCGAGTATCGCTTCTCGGACACGTTTGGCATGACCTTGAACATCGTTCTACATGAGGCGGGGCTCTTGGCAGAGTTTGGCCTTGTGATTCTTTGTTTTTTTTTGATCCATCATTGCCACAGATTTCAACTGATAATTTGATAATCTTACTGTATATATTTAAATAAACTTGCAAGAGCGAAGGGTAAGTTCAAGGCCCCTTCACCACCTCCTAACTGAACACTGATGTTGAACACCTGGCAGCACGCTTGCATGCGTTTGTTTGCTCCTCCTCTTGTTTGGGCGGTGCTGCCAAGTTTGCAGCCTTCCCCCATTTCTGGACTTCAGGCGTAAGTGAGCTTCATGAATCCATGAATCTCCAATAGCACGCATCGATCGACCCATGGAAAGCTTCCAAACACTCAGTCACTCGGTTTAGTTTATTTGAAAAACCATCCCTGAGCCCATCCATGTTTCTTGAACCAAGGGTATTCAACGCGGGGACCGGTTCTAGTGCTACCGTCGGTGCCCACCGGCGCCCGAAACCGGGAGGACCTTACCATGCGCGGCGGCGCGCAGATCTGGTTGGCCGATTGTGGGAAGCGGCTCTCGGACGTCGGGCACCACATCACCTTCATTCTACCCGAGGTCCAGCCGTATGTCGGAACTGATGAGCGGAAGGGACATGAAGGAACTCTTTTGGCTTTTGACTACAAAATAGACTGACTAACTGACTAAGTTCTAAAGTTCATGTGAGTTCATCCAATTCTGGTATACAATTACTCACTGGTTAGATGGCAATCTCATGTTCATTCGCAGCATCTGATGAAATCTGATGAATTCACTGTTGATTGCCGCAGCCCACCTGATTCCCAACCCGGTCAGTGGACTCCATCTTTTACCCCTTTATGGGCATCACTGGGGAAACCCCACAGTACTGACTGCATGGTTTATCAATGTTTATCACCCGACTGGTTTACCAAAGCGATTCACAGCCCTACTGGTTTCCCCTGACGGTGTATCAATTCGCTTTTATGTTGTTCGTTTTGTGGAGTGTCAGATGCGGTGGACAACACCAAGACCTTCGTTCTGTTCTATGCCAGATGCGAACAGGTGGAAACACGTTCAATTCCTATCAATTTCTATAACCTAGGAGCAAGGACGCTACTAGGGGCTCCTGGCCTTACTGCTAGTAAAACAAGATGCTACTAGGGGCTCCTGGCATCGCTACTAGGAGCAAGGACGCTACTAGGATCCAGGGAAACCGAGGGGTCAGGGTTCAACAAGGTGTTTGGTGCCCTATGGTGCCCTGCTCCTTTTTTTGTGAGACGCGTCCGTTGCAGCAGGCGGTGAGAGAGAAGAAGGGGGCCTTTCAAAATTTGTTGTTGGGGTGACACAGGTTTGTTTGCAGAATGAGTCCGATATAGGTATTTTGCACAAAAAGACTTTAAAAGTATTTAAAAGACGTGTCAATAATGTCGGACAATGTAGTGTTGTGTGAGTGGAAGTCAAGGCGCGCCCACAGGACTCACTGATCCTTCCTGACGTGGAGGGCTATGCTCAGAAGATCGTGAAGTACAACCACGACAAGAGCGCAGAGGACAGATTCTGTGCCCAGTGGGTTTATCCACATTTATCTCGTCCCCCCCCAGTGGATCTTGAGCTCTTGTCAGTCATCATCGCCATGAAACGTGATGATTTGGGTATACGGTATACGGTATATATACATATATGATATGTGGTGGCTGCCCTCATCCTGTAGCCGTGCGCAACCATGGTTGATGAGTTGTTGTGAAGGCCCTGAATGACCTGACTCGCATGACGTGGGCTTGGCCAGAAACAAACCCTTCAGAAGATCCATGAGCTTTCATCGTTGTATCCAGGCCACAGCTGCGCAAGATATTATGGCACCAAAAAGGGTATCCCGCAAAGAAAGAGATGGTACTTGACATGGCTGTTTGGAGAATGTATTTTTGCACAAGACCAGTTTTGGTTGCGTTGTCATTGTATAGAATAGTGCCTTCTGCTTTGCTCAACGTTCTGAGAAAACAGAACATGGAGATGGATTATGTGCCTCCCCCAGCCGGCCTCACCCCCAGCGGGTGAGGGTCGCTTCATGCAGATCCTCAGACTAAATATTTGCTGGCGGTGGAGGGGCGTTCATATCCTGCTCAAGTTGGGCATGCACTATCATGATCACCTTCTTTAGTCCTTGATCCAGCAGCTAGATGTTCTCCTTCAACAGCCACAGCCTGACCATGCCTGACCCCCCCCATACACACCCCTCTTTGGAAAGAAACACTGGTGAGCAAACATCGTGGAGCGCCCCCCAGTCACTCATCATATGACATACAGATGCAAAAAGAACTCATGGTCACCTGAGATGAGGTTTTTGACTTAACCACTTCTTCCACCTCCGCTTTTACCATCCCAGCGCCACCGAACCCAGGACCCCGAGAGTTACCAAGAGGCTTTCACTGAAGTCTTGAAGCCGGCCCAGGCCGAATGGACCGAAAGGACGGAGTTTTGCCCAACGACACATCAGGCGAAGAGAAACCGCTGGCACGCTTTGAAGAAGACAATGGCTGTGAGGACTACACGACACACCCCAAACACATCAGACCCTGCGCACCAAGTTTCGCCAGAAAGCTTGGCTTTCGCTCAGGTGTGCGTGACCCTGGTGCGGCAGATCCGTGGGAAATACCAAAATGTGAGCTTCGTGGAAGCTTGACAGCGAAACAAGCGAGACAGCTGATGTTTGGAATGAAGGATCCCCAGCATAGGGAGGGCCCCAGCTGATGGCCTGAGGGCCTGTGGGTGGTTGAAGGGTGATACAATCCCCCTCAAGCAGAATGCCTTCTATACGTAAAGTGATACATGGAGGCCGTGCAGACTGAAATCACACGGCTCAATTAAGAGGCCTTCAGATCGATCAACCAAGAAGATTTGCAGAAGATTTGCAGATTTCATATGATTCAATGCGGTTTGGTCGCCAACTCAATGGTTTGGTTTGTTCGGAAAGCCGACGTGAGTAGGTGGCGGAAGGTGTTTAATTTATGTAAGCTTAACAGCTGCCGACGTAATCATATGCATTTTGCCCTGTTTTAGCCACAGACAGACGGCAATCACCGGTTTCTGGCACATCCCCAAAGCGGGCTCAGGAAGACGGCAATCACAACCCAGCAATGAATTCTTAAGCCCTTTCGTCCAAACTGTGAGGGTTCCCTTCTTTGCCTGCCTCGTCCCAAGGCCAAGTGTATCAAAGATGCTGCTCGGCAGGGTTTTTCATAGCTTTCCGTGGCAGGCACGGCAAGGATCCTTTGTCATGTGGCCTGCTCAGGGCCTGCTCAATATGGGAACTTTGGATGTGAGAACTTCTTATCACATGGCCTGCTGTGCGAACGGGGGGCTCACTCAGCTTTGACCCTTTGACCTCTCCACCGGATTCCACGGGTGGGCCGCACGGCTATCAGCCGTTATCAGCGACAATACCAGCCCCTGTCACAACAAAGCTGGGTTTTGGATTTGCACAAGCGAACAGGGTAATACCAAACAGGGTAATACCAGCCGGTATTACCCTGGTACCCTGGCAAGGATCTTTACACTGTACACGCAAGGATTCGACGAAAAACCGACTCCGCACAAGCTGGAAATGGGCCACAAGAGATACAATGGGCCACAACATGCCACTTCATTCTGAATGCATCCCAGGCAGGTTTGAAGACCTTCTTGATCTCGAAGACGGGCACCTTTGATCCCACCTACAAGACCGAGTTCTATGGGGGCGAACTCTTAAAGTGCCCTGTCAGCGCAGTGCGCGGGAGTCTTCGACCGCAGGCCGCATTCGGTGTTCACAAGAACTCACCGTTGGTTCCGGAGTCCCAGATTGGGATGTAGATGGATGATGGATGCACACTCCCTGAAATAATCATAGAAGTGGATGGCATGGCTCCTTGGCTGACCATTTTCCTCTACTAGCAGTTACTAGGAGGTGTTTTTGTTCACTTCTATGTTAGTGACTCGGAGTGTAGCATTTTCGATGGTGCCTGGTTTGGCTAGTGCCAGCTACTTTAAATGTTTTCTTCCGCAACCTGAGGTGAATCGAAGACTCCTGATGTCATTGGTTTGGAAGGACCTTCCCAAGAATCATACTGACTAGAGTCTTCGTGCAACTAACATGTCCAGTATAAACATGTCACACCATGTCATACCCGGTCATACCAATCCAATACTCGGAAGATGGTGAACAGTTCAAGACCACCTCCTACGTTCGAAAACGCAGACACACAGCCTGGCGCCGATGCCATGGATGGCACCGAGACCAGAAACTGAGGACGGAGCCCCCCCAGTGTTGTACAGTGACCATCGCAGAGTTCACGCGGCAGTCCATCATCGAGGCAGATGGACTGATCAACATCAGACACCCCGGTGGATCAGTATTCAGTGTGTGGCACCGTGGGGATTTCAGAGACCGTGTCAGATTTCAGAGACTTTGGCATCGGTCCCTATGGTAACGAACATGGTATTCAAGAAAAGTCAACCAATACGCACTTTTTTGATGGGCAGGGAGCAATAAGAACAATAGCCCAAAGGGACCCGCCATGAACAGAAACAGTGTTTCTGGTTTGGCACATGTAAAGTAACAAGATCACACAAACTGTGACAATCATGTCACTCACCAATAGGAAGACACCTCATTTAGGAAAATGTATATAGACGCATCCTGACATGGGCCAACTCCCACACGTATATGATGATTATTATTATTATTTATAATGTGTTATAATGTGTAATAAAATATTTAAAGTGTTCTGTTGGAATCCTGTACCACCTGGGTTTCTTATGTGAAATCCGTTTTGACAAGTCGACTTCAAGTCGATCTTCTCCGAAGACCACTCTTCGCCATATCCGATCGGTCGGCCACTCTTCGACCCCAGGCCTTTGGCATCAAGCCACAGTTCATTCAGCGCCTGGGGATACGGAAGACATGAGTGAAGACATGGGGTGAGGCATTTGCTTCCTTTTGCCATTTTAGAGAACCTGTCAGTTGCTGCCGGATTGAGACCTACAAGTGTACCCGCTGGCACCCCTGGACATAGATTCTGGCACAAGTTGTACGTTTCTCCAACATGCCACCTGCAAAACAGGGCACCATGTCATGTGGACAGACCTCTCACCGATGTCCTTTCACCATGAGACACCTGGGTCTTCAAAGGGCACCACTTGTTTGTGCCGGCATCGTTCAGTGAGAAGATGCCGTAGTCAAAGAAACAGGCCGCTTCAGGGGTTGCATACATGTGCTCAAAATCCATGGAAGGGAAAGATGCTGCTTGGACGCCCAAAGATGTCGTTTCCTTTGGGGCGTCTCACCTCGCTACAAATTTGCCGGTTTCCGCCTGGCCACAACCAAACAAACTGTCTTTGGGAAAAGACACCGTTCTTCGGCATGTTTTTCATGAAAGGGATTTTTGTGCGCTGTTTCAAGGTTCAAGTGTATAGGTGCCGGTAAACACTAGGAGTTCAATCTCATTTCAATTAACTCCTTAGGCTGGGGATCACGGTGTGGTATGTGTGCATAATATTTATATATATGTATATATGAATGCATTTATTTAACTATATACACCCTTTCCATTGTTCCCATGGTCTCATGACCTTGAAATGCTGTCTTTGTAGTAGCCTTCCAGTGGGCCTAGTGTTGTTGTTTGAAATCGCTCTAGGACCATTTACAATGGCACGGACACCGAGAAGTTCAAACGGACGCCTGAGATGGCAGTGGAGGCCAAGAAGAGGTATCCCATTGAGGACGGACGTGGAAGCCTCGTGCCGCTAACGTGCGCGGAATAGCGGCTCGCGCGTATTAGCGGCTCGCGCGTATTAGCGCTCGCACTGGTGCTTCGTTCGGAGGTTGGTGAAGGAACCCCCTGGAACCCTTTGAGATACCTCCAGGCCTCCAGGTAGCAGGTGTGATCATCAATCAAAAGTGGGACACGACCCCCCTTGAACGTTCCCACCCAGAGTTTCTACCTCATCTTTTTTCTCACTTCTCAATTCCAGTAGGATACTATCTAGTTGTTGTTTTTCATATGTGTGTTCTTCGCCCGTCCCTCATGTTTCCATGCACCCAACGATGGTCTTCTTCCATGCACCAGGAGGGCAAGTTCGTCGTGGGTAGCATCGGCCGCTTTGTGGCGGCGAAGGGGCAGAAGGTCTTGTGCCTCGGTGGCTTGAAACATGCGAGACGTTTTGTTCTCATTCAAAAATGGAAAATGCTTGAGAGCTTGAGTTTCTTTTAGAGAAACTGACATAATTCCTACTTTACTGGTGGATTTAGTGGATTTCCAAGCTATTGTCTTCCCACAGTACACTTCGGGCGTCATGTGTTGTGTGGCTAAGGCTTCGGGCAGTCAAGAAGCTCTTGGATTCCGGCCGTGTCCCCAACATCCATGTTCCATGGCCTGGTCGAGCCCGAAGGGGTGAAGGAAAGAGCTGTGGGCGAAGAGAAGAGAAGCCTTGGAAGACCATGTGGTGCGGAGTTCTTGGTGCATTGCCTCCACTCTGAGCGATGCATGGGGCTACAGTGCTACAGCTGATACAAGAGGTTACGGTTAAAGGTGATTGTTGAAAGACGGTTCTTAGAATTCTAGCAATGGAACGTAAAACACATCCCTTCCGTTTATATACTTCTGGTGAATATGTCAGGGAAGCCGCTGCATTCGGGCAATGCAAACAACACCCTGGAGTCAGGGGGATGTTAAATCTCCAATGTTCCAATCTTGAACGTGTCAATGGGCCTTGCAGCCTTGCAGGCATTCGGGGCCTTCAAACAGAATGGCTTTCTCGGGGACGGTGGTTTTGGCCCTTTAGAAGTGATTTCTCTATCCAATTATAGCTATATAATATATGAGATGCTGTGAGTTGTGACAGGGATTGCTTGATGAAGGGACCATCTCTTCCAATCATTCCGACCATTTTTAATTAATCAATATCGACAGCTACGATGGATTCCCCACTTGTTCTGCAGGCTCGCTTGCTCGCTCCTCAAGTTTCTCATGGTTTCTTCGCACCTTTCCCGTTGGATGTGAGGCTTCAAGGTGGTCAATGTCCCCGTCGTTGTTTGTATGGTCGAGATATCGATGTCACCGAAATGCATGGACTCATGTGCGTCATCGGCCGTCACCAGGTCTTGATGGTGGGCGAAGGCGGCTGGGATGTGTCGGATGCGTCGCGGTCCCTCCTACGCAATGGGCATTGGGCATGGCCTAATCCGCTAACACCAATGATGAACTTCCTTGGCATAGCAGTGAATCTCTTCCAACAATTCCTGCCTTTCTTTCCCAGTTTGGCGCAACTCTACAACCACAGTTGTCAGTCGCACTGTCTGAGGTGTGTGTCACTGTCACTTTGTTGGGACAAGGAATGGGCGACTACGGAGTGAAGCATCAACAAAAGCTCGGGTTCTCGGAGCCTTTCCTATTTCAGGCTGTTGGGGAGCAAATCCCTTACTAGGCTTGAAAGACTCTTATGGTCCGATTCAAAGTCCCAAAGTGCTTAACTTTGCTAGAGGCCTTTAGAAGACCGTTGAACTTACCAAAAGACTCCGCCAACTCTGCCGTGCTTCGGTACTTCTACGCGTCACCTTTGCGTGCTTGGACTGGGATGCCAAATGCTCACGGCACTTCTTGCAGGCGATCTGAAGGACGAGATCGAGAAAATGGTGACGGAATTTTGGTGATGAATGGTGTTGCTGTTCTTGTGCATGCTTGCTTGCTGTTCTTGTTTCATTGTTGTTTAAGCTGTTGGCTGTTCGACGCCCAGTTGTTTAAGCTGTTGGCTGTTCGAGGCCCAGATATTTGTTGTTGGTACTCACTCCTGTACTACTACCGATGGGGAGTGCGTGCAGGCCTCCAAGACTCCTTCTATTTTCCAGTTCCACACTGGAAGTGGTGTAGACGACATCATGCTGTATGTTTTTTTGATGTATTATCCCTTTGTCCGTCCTTCCATCTAAGGATCTCAATTTGAGCTCGGCGGTGTCCATTTATCCCTTCACCAAGGCAGGGCGTCGCTGATGACGTGCTGCGGTCCATGTTCTGGGCGTTTGGGTGCGATTGGCCATGGTTGGCGGGCTTTGGATTGGTTCTTGATGGGGTTGCACCAGGCAACAGAGGGGTCCGACTCCCGAGCCTCCGGGCCGGACGGACACCGGAACCGGGCCGGACACCGGCCGGTGCCACGATGGGATGGAAGGGCTTTATGGTGCCAGGAGGGTATTGAGGTCCCACTTCTTCCGGAAGTGGGTTTTAAGGTGCCACAATGCACCAAAACCATGCCACATGTCTTTGATTTGTTGGGAGTGTACCAGCTTTTCCTTTCACGTGAAATCCATCTCTGTGTGCGCAGGAGCCCTTCTATGTCTTTGAGGCCTGTGATTGCATCGCGCTAGCCTCCTTCCTCGAAGGCGAGGTGCGAAGCGCGATTGCTTTGCTGGACATCAAGCGAGAACTTGAGGGAACCCTCCTCACTGTCACACACCCTCTACGGCATACCCTCCTCATACATCTCTACGGGCATTGTGATTGATATACTTTATGCAGTGGCTTCATCTTGGTGGGTGCTGTTGGGCATTTGGAGTACGCGGCACGTCCCTAAGTCCCCAAGTCATTGTAAATCAGCTGATTATTTCAATCTGCGCAATCCGCTGATTGGGCCGTCGGTCGGAAGACTGTTGTTCACCTGAAACCTGTGGGAGGTGCCCCATAGAATCATAGGACTTGGACAATGGACCGGAAGTAGTACATCATATTGTAGAAAACCCATCAAAACACTCCATATTATTTATCAGCGGCCAACATTACAAACACAGAACAGGAGAACAGTTTGATTGGTCTTTTGCTCCTAATACTCTAATTGTATGTTCAGCAAGAAGGGCAACCAACAGAAGGGAATACCCAGAGTCTGGTGACAGACTGGCTCGGCATTAGATAGCGCGGATCATGTTTTTTCACGCCACCCAAATGATGTGAACGGCCCTGGATCAGGTTGACAAAGTTGGTTGATTCAAGGGGCTAGCAGCCTAGCAGCCATATAACATCATATAATATAATATACATAACTTAACTATATATATATATATATATTTGTTTGATTTGCTTGTGACATGCGTCTCCATGTAGACGGACCCTTGAGCCTTGCCGTGCCTGACGATGGATTGAGTTGGTTTAAGAAAGCATAGATTGTCTCGCAACAAGCGCCGAAAGTCCCTTCTCGAAGAAAGAACATCGACTGAAGCCATAAGTTGGATCCTTAAATTCAAGACGATGAATCCCATGATTTGATGTCGCTGCTGGAGGCCTTCCGAATGCGCTGCTGGAGGCGTTGGCGATGGAGAAACCCTGCGTGGCCTCCAGGATCTATGGCATGCCCGAGGTGGGTGGAAAAACTGAGCCGAAAGCGTGAGGGGGGTGGTCAACCAACCCCTTTATGGGGTCAAGTTGTTGCGGGGTGGTCAGCCAACCCTTTGTGGGGTCAAGTTGTTGCGAAGAGATGTTGAGAATGAGCCATCATATATCATTAAATAACATAGATCATGCGGCTTTGTAGCTTCAGATTCTTGGATATTGTTACTGTATATATAGCATTGAATCATTTTGTAGGAGCTGCATCCACTGGAACATGAATGAACCAAGGATTCATTGTGGGACCTCCCACTGACAGGAATAAGTAATTGCTGGAAGTAATGAAACATTGCGTGAGTAGCACTGGTGACACTTTTGGAAGTTCCTGGTTGCTTCGGCTTGTGGTCTGAAGAACCGCCACTGCCTACCTCGCCTCGAGTCGAGTTCGGCTTCATGTTCCAAATGTTCCAAGGTGGTGGTGGACGGCGAGACTGGCTACTGCTTTGAAGCTGGAAAGGCACCTTTTGGGGCTTCGGCATCGCGGAATCGCCTCGTCCTCTCCTTCGTACCTCGGGGATCCATCCGAACTCGGGGATCCCGCCGTGAGCGGGAAGGTGGGGGTGGAGCCGCGATCCAAGAGCTTTTGTAAAGAATGCATGGGCCTCGAGGTGGATGATGAGAGCACTTGGGATGCCATGGCGGAAGGCTGTGCTGAAGCCATTGCCAAGATCCTCGGAACGATATATTGGAGGCGAATCGACGCGAAGGAGGGAGCTCCCCCCAAACAAATGCAGGGTTGTAGGCTGGTGAGAAAACGGAAAATCGATTCAACGTCTGAGCTGGAGTTACAGTTCGCGGATTTGATGGCCCTCCCAGCCAGCCGGCGTGCTGGATCGGGCACCTTGTGATTCAAGGCATGTCAATTTGGGCGATCGAAAGAGTAGAGACCCTGCGCATGTGTTTGTTCCGCTGGAACATCCCAGTCAACACCACAATAGCAAGCACTGCAACGGATCTTCATTCATCCGCTGCAAAAGTGGAGCCAGCTGGGGATGTTGTCCAATCTGGGGTGTTTTTGATCGGTGATTTGATCAACATGCGCCCGGGGGAATGACAGGATCCCATTGGAATGATCGGTGTTTTCTCGAGTTGCTGCTGGGAATCTTTTCCGGAGACGAGCACAGCGACGCACTGCAAATGTCCATTTTGGAAGGGCCATGTCATGTCTGAAGTGGAGGTTCGTCCAGACAGAATCGCCTTGAGGATAGCAGCCTTGGATGAATCTGGGCGTCAGCAGATGGCGGCAAACGGAAAGAAGTTAGTCTTTGAAGGCCATGACAAAGTGGCTTGGACCTTTCAGTGGAGTCAGCAGACCCTTTAAACAAAATAAGCCAAGCAACTCTTAGTAGCAAACAAGAGCTGCTGGTATTGCTCTGGGAATGTATGACTGTGAGAAGCTGCTCTTGGGGGAGCTGAGATGTGAAGGGGGGAACTGATCCTTTAGAGTGTCTAGCGCATTCACCTGCTCAATGAGAATTGGTGCCCATGCTTTCCTGATGACAGTGGTTTCAGTGTAGATGGCACAATCCCCAAAAGGTGGTTTATATGGATCCCCATCTAAAAGACATCTTGGGGTTTGTGCCATCTACTCTCATTCCACTATATATGTTGATGCAACAAGAAGTCTGCAAGTCTGGATCACTGAGACCGTGCACTGTGATGTCTGAGTACGTGGCATGGAGCTTTTAGCTTACCCCCCGTCCAACAAACGTGCAACTGGATAACTCCCTGTTTGTAGAGGAAATAGTCCTGAGTCCTTGTCCTTCCAGGCGCCATATTCCTTTTCTATGATTACTGTAATATTGTTTCAGGGAGTGGGTGTGTGTATATGTGTAGTCATATGGTGTCATAAGTCATATGCTGTCCATGAGTCCACCGGGATTTCCGGGGTGAGCGGGGTGAACGGACAGTTTTGTAGCATCACACAAAGTATGCGGTATCCGATGAGAACTTCATGGGAACCTCGTTCAGCTGGTGTATGTCCAGGTTTTGCTGGTCGGTTGGATTTCTATTTTCCCGAACTGGGTGAATGAATCCTTCTGGGGGAAATATGCTTTTCATGTTTCTCGGGTTGCTGAAGCAAATCCTAAGATGTTGTCAGCCTTTTTTGTCTTGATTTGTCTTGTGGTATGGCGGGCAAAGCGGAAGTTGTAGCCCCTTCCTTCTGACTTGGAAACAGCCCATGCAGTTCATCTCATTGGGGTGGCAGGGGGAACGCACCGGCTGGGCAGCGCCATGCAGTGCCAGAGCATCCTAAGGTGAAGTGCTTCCAACGCAACTTGCCCGGTAGACTGGGACCGGGAGACGTTTTCAGACGAATGAATGAGCACCATGAATGACGGCGGGTCGGTATGTCCCTAAGACAAGTTATAAGGTGTGGCCCATAACGAGTGTGGCCCAGTCGGTTAAACATGGTTTAAAAAAAATGTCACTATGACATATATGTTCGAGAAAGGCCTTTACCAACCATCATCATCCACTGTTACTGGTTGCTGCACTATAGTCGGGGTCGCCAAATACTGGGTGTCGGAGAGGCTTAGGGCTTAGGTGTTCATGCGTTCTCCTGAATTTAGGTATCAAATTTCTGCAGAGTGACCTGTTGCAACAGGTGCATGTTGTGCCTCTGTAGGCGTTCGTCATGAATATCCCTAACAAGGTGTGAGTTGATCAAACACCTCAAGCGGGAGAGGCGTTGCAGGTGGATAAAACCATATACAACCGTTCCCACCATGCTTCAGTGTCGATGGCTTTGAACCTCGCCTCATGGTATCTTGACTTAGCAAGGTATCCTCGACTTGATCCAAGACAAGGCCTGTATTTTTGGTCCAGATTGCTGTCAACGGCTGTCAATGCAACGATGCAATGGAGTGCGAATAGGGCCTTGCGATGAGTTTTGTCGAGAATTGCGAAGAAGTATGGCATTCAGCTTGGAAGTGGTATTGTTAAATGTTACAGCAACACTGTATCATGTCATTGTCAGGCTTATGTGTATGATGGTGTATTGCATGGGTTGGATGAAAAGCCTTTGAACACCTTCCTTTGTCAGGAACTTTTTTAAGAGGGCCTAAGGGGAGGTTCTTCATTGGATCTTAATATTATATATGACTGTTGATAAACCATATGGAGATGTTAGCTCAATTAACAGTCCAGACAAGGGCTCCAGGGATGGACAAACCTTGCCATCTCCAGGCCACAGCAGTGCTGACCGCCGAGAAGGCCGCGGAGCTGGTGGCAGCGGCCGTGCAAAAGGTGCCCGCCTAGGCGCCAGCGGTGCAGCGGAGCGTCGTGATGCCGCGGTGCGTCAATTTGCGGCCGGTAGTTTGCTGACACGGAATTCTATGGGTGCATGGGTTATATAGGTGGTTTGCTGGTGGTGTGCAAGCAGCGTCAAGCAAGGCCATGCAGTGAGATGATTTAAGCTTAAAAGTTTGAGACTCATCGACGTGACTTGTTCTTTGCTTCTCAGTTAGACTTATAGGCTTTGCTACCAACACCCCCAGCAAAATTCATAGAAACGTATTGTGAAGACAAACTTTATTCCTGTATACATCCATGATTCATGATCATTTTAGAAAGGAACAAAATGTTTTCAAAAAGCAGACGTTTTTGCATGGTTGAGCTATGTTGAGCTTCAAGCTGTTCATTGAAGCTCATCCTGTCGTTGTCGATGGTCCCCCTGCGCCTGTTTGAACTCTGGGGAATTCCCGCAGGTGAGGGTGCTGTTTCGTTCGCTGCTGACCTGGGCGGCTGCTTGGGGATTCGGGGAGCCTCACCGGAAAAATACGACTATATAGTGACTAATCAGTGGCATTTGGATGATTAGCTGTTGTAGGGTGAAGAGTTTTCATGTTCAAATGATGAGTGTTATGTGTTGTTGCATTGCGTTTTGGCTTGTTAGGACTGACTCCTTTGTTGATGGATTGATGATTGATGAATCGTCTTTGTTGGCAGATCGGGTGTAGGACGACATGCAGACATGTACGGACCCATTGCGCGACCTGTTCTGAAACTTGATCGATTCATCTACTACAGTGGTTGCTCTTGGCCACCTTGGCCTAGTGATTCCCCGACAGGATTGGGAGACATTTTTCTGTGGCCTGGTGCGGTGGGGTTTTCTGGTCCTTGCCGAGGAAGCGCATCCTTTGAGTTTCCGCTTTCATGAGTCGATGGGGTGTGTCTCACCGCCTAGGCTGCCAGCCTTGGTGACTCAAAGCGTGCAAGAAAACCAGACCTGTCAGGGGGTCGGATGTAGGATCTACGTACAGGTCAAATGGCATTCGTCCGTAGCGGATGTAATTATGGCAAACGATCCATTGATTGGAACATATTGGGAGAAAGATTCCTCAAGTTCATGGATCCCAGTTGGATTCATTTGGATTCAAAGCTGTCCTATCTGCCAGAGCCACCAGCAGGCTGTGATTCACGGTCCCACTCATGACGGTTCCCCGAGAACCCCGAGAACGGCACCCAGCGGCCTGTTTCACTGACGGTGGAAAGTACCGGCGTTCACTTGAAGAAAGCGCCACCAGGGCAGCAGTTCGATCAGGAGGCCTCTACCAAGTTAGTACATAGAAATACAAAAGAAGCACGTAGCTGCGTGCAGCTGTACTTATTTTGTAAGAAAGGATTGATGGGAAGAGATAACAAGGCTTTGTGTGTGTGTGCCTTTGAGATTATAACAAATTTATCGATAATCGTATACATATGCATGCATGTAAAAATAAGCATACATATATATATATATATGTTCCCTTACGCTGCGTGTGTCAGCCTGCGTGAGTGGGTGGGTGGGTGGGTTTGTTTGTTTTGTTTTGTTTTGTTTTGTTTTGTTTTGTTTTGTTTTGTTT